ACATTTCTATCATGTATTTCCTCAAAATATAATTCCCTGAAAGATAAAAGGATCTCAGTACCTGATATGATGTCTAGGTTCACCTTCATTAACTCTAAAGTCAGCATGACCCAATCAGTGATCAATCTAAGCAGCAAAGAGATAATACCACTTTCTTTTTGTCTAGATCAACACCTGTGTAGCTATGGCAGTACACATTTTCCTGGAATCTTCAAAGTAAACTGTTTGGTAGCTTTTCCATTTTTACAACTATTGAGTAAATATTGACCCAAAGTAGGTGAAATGTTGAGGTTCAATAGCAAATTAGGAAATAGCTAACACTATTCTAGGCTACATCAACGGAAGTATACTGGCCAGATTTAGGGAAGTAATAGTACCACTCTATTCTATCTTGGTCGGACCACACCTGGAATACTGTGTCCAATTTTGGGCACCCCAATTTAAGAAGGATTTTGACAGGCTGGAACATGTGCAGAGGAGGGCAACCAAGATGATCAAGGGTCGGGAAACCAAGCCTTATGAGGAGTAGTTGAAGGTATGTTTAGCCTGGAAAAGAGGAGACTGAGAGGTGATATGATAGCCATCTTCAAATGTCTTAAGGGCTGGAACATGGAAGAGAGTAGGACTCAAACCAATGGCTTCAAGTTGAAGGAGATTCTGAAAAGACGCAGCTTAAGAACTACCGCCCCATATCACTGCTTAACGTGGATTATAAAATCTTTGCAGACATTTTGGCTAAAAGACTAAAAAAAGTGTTAGTGGAAGAGATTCATAAAGATCAAGCAGGCTTTCTCCCGGGTAGACACTTGTCTGATAATATGAGAAATATAATCAATATTTTAGAAAAATTACAAGTGAATATTAATACCAAGGCAGTTTTGATATTTGTGGACGCGGAGAAAGCATTTGACAATATTGGAGTTTTATGAAGAAGAACCTACAGGGGATGGGGGTAGGTCAAGGCTTTGGAAACGGTATAAGTGCAATTTATTCAGAACAAAAGGCTAAATTAATTGTTAATAACGTGGTGACGGAGGAATTTAAGATAGAAAAAGGGACACGACAAGGTGGCCCAATTTCCCCATTGCTTTTTATATCGGTCCTGGAGGTCCTGCTGAATATGATTAGAAAGAAC